TCGAATTTGAATATAAAGAGCATTTAATGCTAACGGCCTCATGTAGATTGAGAATTATTAGGAACAACTTCCTACCAATATGGGAAACCAAAAATGTGGAACGGCAATATTCTGTATTCCAAACGGCGTAGTTTCACTTAGGCAGGAAAATAATGCAATTTGATTGGCCATGACTATATGGCTTTAATATATAGAAAGATTAGACGGGGAAATACTGCAATTTGATTGGCCATGACTATATGGCTTTAATATATAAAAAAATTTACAAGTTTCCCAGGTTTCTAACAAGTCACTATAAATTTAAAATATTTTTTAAAAATAATTATTTGAAACTAATTGTTTTAATTTTTTTTTAAATCGATGTCGGAAACAATTAGTTTTAAATAATTGTTTTTAAAAAATTCTAACCGATTTTTTTTTAAAGTTTAAACAATTAGTTTTAAATAATTATTTAAAAAAATATTTTAAATTTGGAGTGACCTGTTAGAAACGTGAAAATATTTGGACTAATTGCATGAAATTGGTTTGTTTAGGGGCGTAATTGCATAATTTTTTGAGTTCAATAGCCTAATTGCATTTTGGTGTGTAGTTTGATAGCATATTTGGTCCTTATTCCTTAAAAGAATGTGATATTTCAAAATTTATATTTTCTTATTTGGTTTATATTATCTTACTTTCTTAATGGAATATGACATTCTCTAAAGAATGCAAGATACCATCCACATAGGATTTTGAAGGAAATGTGATTCCTTCACAATTCTTAGGCTATATAAGGTTGCCATGTATATATAAAAATTTTGCCAAATTATTTCTAATCAGGGACGGAGCCAGAAAATATGTTGAGGGGGGCAAAGAAGTAAGGATGGATTCAATGGTGTATTCAGAAATTTTTTTTAGTGAGAGAAAAAATTTAAAATAAAAGAGAAAGTTTAAAAAAAATGAAATACTTAAAAAGTATAACAATAAATATTGTTGGATATATTGAAAAATAAAACATATTAAAACTTGGGAAAATGACACTTTTTCTCCCTGTGTTATATACTTATAGCACTTTTTTCCCCTGAGTTATTCATGCATTCACATTTGCCCCCTCAATTATTATAGAAGTGTCGGTTTTTCCCCCTGATAATATTAAATGGACATTTCTACCCTTAAAACAAATATTTTATTTATTTCTCTTCTTCAACAAATTATTGCTTATACGTAGGGATGACCACGGTTCGGTTCGAACTGAACCAAACACTATAGCAATCAAATTAAAAAATTTCGGTTATGATTCATAACATAACCCAATATTTGGGTTTCCGTTTATTAAAATCGTGAACTGGAAAAAAATGGATTCTGAACCGTGAACCGGAGGTTCAAATCGGAACAACTACTAGCAATGGCTTAAATTAGAATTATAATATTTGCAAATAGTGTATGTTTTTTTCCACATTTATATTGACTCTCACATATAAGTATATATAATCGCGGTTTGAGTTTTATTTTGAACCGTCGATTCACGATTTTGGATCCAATTTGAACGGTTGATTCAAACTTTCTTTTAAAATTTTATTTTTTATTTTTAAAATATTCTAAATTCAACACTTAATGTATTTTATTTTTTCAAATCGTGGTTATAATTTGTTGGAGAAGAAAAATAAATGAAATATTTATTTTAAGGGTAAATATGTCCATTTAATATATCAGGGGGAAAAACTGTCACTTAAATAATTTAGGGGAAAAAAATGCTATAAGTATATAACAAAGGGGAAAAAAGTGCCATTTTTCCTTAAAACTTTATAAAAATATTTATAACAAAATATGAAACATAATTAATTTGATAAAACAATTCGAATATAAAACACATTATAAATTGCACATTCCATTATTAATAGAAAGAAAGTTATAATGGAAGTTATATATATCATGCCAAAATTTAATTGTGTTAATAAAAAAAGTGAAAAAAGGCTGTGACATTATCAATACAAAGACTCGAACCCAGACCATTCTAAAACTCATACACATTAACTACCATCTTGTCTATCACAGCTTTTGTTTACATGATCTGTTTTATAATACTTATATGAATAATGTACTATATATACATATTATATACAATATAGGGTAGGGGAGGGTAGGGGATGGGTGGGGTGGGGTGAGGGGGGGCAGCTGACCCCCCTGCCCCCCTCTGACTCGGTCTATGTTTCTAATTATTACAAAATATATATTTTATATTAGCTTATTATATGTATTATATTTAATTGTTTTTATAATATTATATTATATTTTATTTTTTTGTTACGTCATGTAAGTTTATAAAACAAATTTAATTTTCAAGTTCAAGATTTTATTAACATTTTGTGAACCAAATTAACCTAAAGTACTCGAAATCAGGATTCAACCTTTATAATTTTTGAATGATCTGACATAAATTGCGTGGCCACTAGGGAAACTTTACGATAAATGTCAAAGTGGCTGGCAAACAAAACAAAATCAAAAAGTGAAGACAAAGTGGTATTTGTGTGTAACTCCATTGCCATATTATATGACTTTGTACATTCAGCTTTTATTCAATTGTGAAATCCATTATACGGAGTAGTTTTTTTTTTGTTTTTTGTTTTTAAAGAAAATTTGTAGTTACTACTCATTGATATGTGATAATGATAATATTTAAGTACGAGAAGAATATGTTCCATTCATTTGACACCTTTCTAGAGACGGGATCCATAAATTTCATTTAGTGACCTGGTGTGAAAAAATAAAAATATTTATGGTAAAATATGAAATTGTTGAAATAAAATTTATATCATCTCTATTAATATGACATTCATAAATATTTTTTATTTAAATTAGATCAACTCTAAGTATTTCTATAATAATTTAAATACAATAACACACATTTAAAACTTTTAGATTACATTAACTAGATAATTTTTCATAACTGAATTACAAAACATATTTTGTATCAATTAATTAATCACTTTAAATAATTTTTATCACACATAACACATTATAAATTTCACAATTAATATACCGTTAGAATTATTAATAAATCTCACAAATCACAATTTTAATTATAATGAGAAGATAACATTAAAATATAATTATATATTCAAAGTATGTTAGAGAAAAATAAAAATATAATATAAACATATATTTAAGGTGTGTTAAAGAATATAAAACTAAAATTTTAATATATATTTAAAATATATAAAGGGTTGCAACAACTGTGGTATGTAATAAGGTCTGGTCGCTAGACCTTTTATAGAAGAAAATCACTAACTACCAAATGAATTATCTCAACTTTAGTAACTTTTATGTATAATAGTATATTATTTACATCGTGCACCAGGACGCGCATTGCATTGTGCGTCCTGATACAAAACGATGTCGTTTCACATAATTGTATAAATAAACACACATAATTGTATAAATAAATGCACATAATCACGTCAATCCTCTACTGTGCTTCCTAAAATGATTGCACAATGCACAGTGCTGCGCGCGTCGTGGTGCAGGAGTGGGTGAGGGGGGCAACTATCTCCATTTATTATTATGCGAATGTGAGTTGATACAATAGTTATGCTGTGCAACCGAATGTACCATGCGCATGGTGCATACGGTTCAAAACGACGTCGTTTTGATTAAAAACGCGCGTCCCACTTAAAAAAAAAAAATCAGGTTCGACTCTCAGCAATAGCATTATTGTGGATATATAGTTATGAAATTGTGGATATATAGTTATGAAATTGTGGTTATATAGTTATGAATTTATGGATATTTAGTTCATTCATTGTGGATATTTAGTTCAATCATATATTGTGGATATTTAGTTCATTCATTCACTGTGGATATATAGTTATGAAATTGTGGATATATAGTTATGAAATTGTGGTTCTATAGTTATGAATTTATGGATATTTAGTTCATTCATTGTGGATATTTAGTTCAATCATATATTGTGGATATTTAGTTCATTCATTGTGGATTTTTACTTCATTCATTCATTCATTGTGGATTTTTACTTCATTCATTCATTCATTGTGGATTTTTACTTCATTCATTCACTGTGGATATATAGTTATAAAATTGTGGATATATAGTTATGAAATTGTGGTTATATAGTTATGAATTTCTTGATATATAAAAATGCTATTGCCGGGAATCGAACCTGATTTCTTCTTTAAGTGGGACGCGCATTTTTTTAACCAAAACGGCGCCGTTTTGCAACCGTATGCACCTTGCAAGGTGCATTCGGTTGCACAGCATAATTTGCGGAGTTGATAGAGATGGATCGGGTGATGGGTCCAATCCATATTCATTATTGGGCCATCACAAATATATAGGCCCATAGGCAATTGCTGACCAGTCCTCCCAGTCAGTTGTTATATCATAGACCGTGGTGCACATGTACCACAGTAAAAAACAGTGCCGTTTCTTTAAGTAAAGAAACGGTTCGTCGTTACCGTTAACGGATTCCGCTTGTTTGGTGTATTAAACACCAACTGACACTACAATATATTTAAACTGACACTGCAGTTATATCAAAATGATACTGTAATTGTAGTGAAATGAAACTGCAGTATATATAAAATAAAACTGAATAACATTTCACATATTTGAGTGTATATTGTACAATGAAGCTGTAATTTTATATCAAAATGATTATGTAATTGTGTTTTAATGAAACTATAGTGTATATAAAATAAAATTAAATAAATTTTCACATATTTGAGTCTATAAATATCGAATGAAACTGTAATTATATCAAAATGAAAGCATAGTTATGTTGAACCGAAATTGCAGTGTATACAAAATGAAACTGAATAACAGAGTTGGTACGAAACGGTGAAAAATGAATGATGTTTATTTTCATTTAACAAAATGACGTCGTTTTGATGCGTGATGCATAATTGATTATGCACCGCGGGGCACGATATAATTTGCCCCTCCCAGTTCGGCAGTTCCCCACCCTGACAGAGTGACCTTCAGCTTCATAAATCATAACCGCCAAAAGGAAAAACGAAAAGCGTCCGCCATTTTTCTCCTTCGTTAGCTTCAAAACTCAAAACCCTCCATGTAACAATGATCTCCGACAAAATCTACCCCGAATTGAAGACCACCGGAAGTCTCTCCTCCAAACACGACAATTATTATCTCATATGGAAGTCTAAAATCCTCTTCGTTCTCGCCGACTATGGACTCGACGACGTTCTCACAACCCCCGTCGACTCCACCGACCCGCAATGGCTCAATCGAGACAAGTGGGCGCGTTACTTCCACATCCTCCCGAGCCTCGACGAAGATTTACGTGCCACATACTCATATCTCCCCACCGTGAAGGCGATCATGGACGCCCTCGAAAGCCACTTCAATTTTGTTACTGTGAGCAGGAAAATGAATCTCTTCAGATGTTACCGCAACCACAAAATGGAGCCCCACATGCCGATCAATAAGCACATATTTCGTATGCGGGCCATGGCGAAAGTGCTGGAGTGTGCCGGAATTAGCGTTCCCGACGAGATGCAGGCGGTGTTGCTGCTGAACAGCGTGCCGGAGGATTGGTGCGAGGATGTCGAGAGGGTGCAGTTGGGGCCGCATGGGTGTTTGGAGGAGGAATTGAGTCTCCATAATGCGACCTTGAGGTTGAGGATTGCGAGTGATGCTAGGAAGTTGAAGAACTATGTTAATAACAAGGGGGGATTCAAACTCGTTTGCAATTTCTGTGGAAACAAAGGTCATCGGAAACGCGATTGCCCAGAAGGTAAAGAATTATTGACTTATTCATTCTCTTTATCCATTTCTCTGTTTACATTTTATATTGTTAATGAATTATGCACAGGAGATTATTTTTGGGGTGACAAGGAAGCTATTGTAAATTCTGTCTTGTAACCCTAATTTATAAATCAGCTAGTTTGTTCATAGCTAACCAGGTCAAACACCTTAATCCTGCCATAGTTTAACTTATAATTTTGTGGTTACAAAGTCTATAGTCTTACGAACTTTTGATTAAAACCATACTACGTGGTTGTGGTGGATCATAAATCGTAATGGTAAAATAAGCTTTCGAGTTAAGTCTCTCTTTGCCAGCAGCTAAAGGTAATTAGGATTAGAAGATTCATCATATTCTGGTAATGCTAATGGTATAATCTCTCTTTGCTGTGTCCATCAATTCCCAGTAGTTTTGAACTTGGTGTTAACTGTGGACTAAGCTGACCATATCTCTATTCTTTCTTTATTTAAGGGCTTGCAGCACTCCATGGGTGATAAGTGATAACTCTGTTCTTTATCTCTTTCTTGTCTGCATCATTACTTAACATATCTGGAAAACCTACCTACATGAGTGTAAGGGGTAAAGAGCATTGTTTCCCATTTTGATTATTATAGTGTGATACTCAAAGACAATAGTTCTTGATGCCATTACTAAGGGTGTGTTTGGTTCATGGGTTCACACACCAAGAATGGGAATCAAAATCGTAGTTAGTGTTTGGTTGACAACTTTTTAAAACACAACTATGAGATTTGATTACCCCTTCAATTGAAAACCCCATTCTCTAATTAAAAACGGGTATCATTCTATCTTATTGGTAATCTAATTTTTATGTTCGGATTAGTGCTTTTAGATTTTTGTTTTGTTCATATTGGTGCTTTGTATGTCATTATATTAGGATCAATTGCCTTGATTTTTGGTTTTTGTATATTTAAAACCTTTATTCCAATTATAGGGTCATACATAAACCAACATCAGGTAATTATTTCAATTCCACCCTACTACCAAACATGCAAAATACTTTCACCAAAACCCATTAACATTACCAAGTATTTGATTCCCATGTGCGAACCAAACACACCCTAATTAATGCCATGGTTGTGTTGCATGTATATCATGATAAATTTCTCATATATTCTTAATTGTTTGAGGAGTTCTTTTCAAGATTTTCATCTTTCTTGATTGCAGCTTTAAGACTAGAGGAAAGTTTCCCTTCACAGTATCTAGACTCCCCCCCAAATGTCATTGGAATTGTTTATCCTCAACTTAAAACCAGAGAGAGACTTAACTCCTCTGGTTCTGACTTCTACTCATGGGAGATTATGCTTTCTGATCTGTTCCGTTTCAGTGAAGTCAGTTATGTCCTTGAGGACCCAAAACCCCCTGAGGAGGATGTTGACCGTTGTAAGAAATGGCTAGCTGATGACTTACTTTGCCGCCATCTTATTCTTGGTGCAGTAGATGATGATCTCTTCCTCAGTTTCCATGGCTACCCCTCTGCCAAGTCTATGATGGATGATATCAAGGCATTCTTTAGTTTCACCTCTAATGCTCAGCGCAAGCTTCTGCTTAAAAAATACATGGACCATCAAATGTCTGAGGGCACAACCATACTTAACCACAATAGCAAGATGCAAAGGTTAGCACTGAAGCTGAAAAGTGTGGGGGTAACTATCCCTGATGAATTGCAAGCGTTTACTTTGATGGATAGCATGCCAGCGTCATGGTTTGACTCATTGATAGCACTGAGACGGGACATGAACCTGAAGGAAAAAGAAATGGACCTTAAAGCAGTGAGAGCAAGGTTGTGGGAAGTTGGTCGAGCAAGGGATTTGATGGCAGTTCAAGATGAGATAGAAATGTCCAGTAAGAAATCCAGGAAAGTTTTCGAGGGCAAGTGTTATTCTTGCAGGAGGCAAGGCCACTATGCATCCGAGTGTCCAAACAAAGGTAGTTAGTATCTAGTGACTTTAGAAAATTACATACTCCGTATATGTTTTCATTTTTGTATTGTTGAGCAAGCCCTTTGATCAGACTCCAGTGTCCTAGGAATAATGCGTTGGGTCTACATGCTTTGTTTCATTGGTGCAGGTAAAAAACGGAAGCTCACCACCTGAAGTGCCAAGCAGAGTTTCGTGTATATTGGTTTTTCCTATATTTTAGCTTTGAACTTAGAGGTGGCAAAAATACCAATGGTTGGAAAGAGTAGAGACATGTTATGTTCTCGTGACACATTCTTTCAAAATCTTGGTTATGGTGCATATTGTTGGAACACGAATTGGCTTGTTATTGACCTAATTTTAAGGTAAGTAATACAGAAAAATAGTTATGAGTAGTATAAAACAGTTACTAGGTTGCAAAGTTTCATCATTTGCAGGTGACATTCACTTGCCTGTTCAATTGGGGTCTAAGCTATGGTTCCCTTTTTAACTCCCTCTGGCTCGGATTAGATCTGTCATCTTGGTTGTGTTTCCTTCCCCATGCATTTTCTCCAGATGGGGACTGGAGCAAACCGTCCAGCCATAACAGATCGGCCACAGTTCATACAGTTATACTTCATCAGCCACTGGAGGATGGGTTTGCTTCCCACTTAGATTTTTAGAAAAGTTGTCATAATTAAACTATGACATGTTATGAAGTTATAAATAGGAGTTCGTTTACATTTTATTCTTTTTTTTTTTTTAATAATAGAAAATTATAACCACTATTTAAAAGTGTTCCGTTCATGTGTAATAACCAGCAAACCACACAGAAAAAACAAAGAGCAAATACCAATTTCGGTCCCACAAGTATTAGTAAAATGACGGTTTTGATCCACATGTTTAATTTCTACCAATTTTCATCCACAACTATTGTTTTAGTACCAATTTTAATCCATGACTATTATTTTAGTACCAAAATTCATCACATCGGTCACCCATCTATTTAAGACATCCCGAAATCTAAAACTTTTAAGGGCATTTTCGTCATTTTCAACTTAAGATTTCAATTTGAGCATAAATAAATGAATTTAAGCCATAAGATCGATCTCAATTCACAGTTTTCATCCTCATCCTACCTTTAATTTGAGGAAGAAAACTGTGAATTAGGACATATCTTATGGCTTAAATCCCTTTATTTATGCTCAAATAGGGATCCTAATTTGAAAATCACGAAACTACCCTTAATAATTTCATATTTCGGCATGTTTTAAACGAAGGGGTGACCGGCGTGATGAGTTTTGGCATTAAAACAATAGTTGTGGATGAAAATTGGTACTAAAATAATAGTCGTGGATGAAAATTGGTAGGAATTAAACATGTGGACCAAAACTGTCATTTTGTTAATTCTCGTGGGATCAAAACAAATCCTAAACTTTGAAGTTTATTCAGAGATATGATCTGGGAAATAAATGCCTCTTCTTTGAAGATCAAAATGAAGTGTTTAAGATATCCAAGTGAAGACCACACAATTATTTAGATCGAATCTTGACTTTTAATTAAGAATGGATGAATTTATGCATTTAAAGATTAAACAAATGAATTAAGATGTACTAAAAAAGAGTTAATCAACGATTTGGTCCCTCAATTATTGTCAAACTGTGAATGTAGTCCTCTAATTCCTTAATCATCGATTTAGTCCCCGAAAATAATTCTTTTTAGTCATTTTAGTCCCTCCATCCATTTTCCGGCAACACTCCGGTTAGACCTCCGATTTACCAGGGTCAATTTTGTCATTTCATTTGTTTATTCACTTCCTACTTGCTTAACCCACACCGACGCTTTTTGAGGAGCTAACTCGCCGGCCGGGAGGGCCTCCGCCGCTTGTCAGGCTCACAGTCATCGACAATCACCACTTCACAAGTACACCATTTCTGGTTTCTCCACCAGGCTATGACTTCGTCAAATACCTTCTTGGTTATGCAAAGAGGATTAACATCAACCTGCAGATCAACAAGCTTGAAAATTTCCCACTTCAGAACCTAAATTCCCAGACCATAAACTCCTCCCCAAATGAGATCTTGATCATTTCTGCCTAGTTCAGGCTCCACAACCTGAGCCACCACTCCCCAGATGACAGGTCAGAGTTCTTGATAGGGCTGAGGAGTTTAGGTCCAAAAGGCGTGGTTTTGAGCGAGAACAATGCAGATTGTAGCTGCAGCCATTGCGGGGACTTCGCCAATGGATTCTCCAGGAGGGTGGAGTACTTGTGGATGGAAGGAGAAGCAGTAAAGACATTGACAAATGTGGGAGAAATGAATGAGTGTAAAGAGAAATGGTGCCAGAGAATGATGAGTGTTGGGTTTGTAGGCCAAGCATTTGGAGAAGATGCAATCGACACAGCGCGAGCGTGGTTGCCGGAGTGTGGTTCCATGGAAGAGAAAGATGCCGACGGGCTAGTGAGAAGGAAAATATTGAGTAAGAAGAAGATATGGCTAGTGAGCCATGGCGACGGGCGGCGGCGGAGCGGCGCAGTGGATGCTTCTCTGGTTCGGCACCGCCAACATCGCCGTGTGATCCAAGAAATCTTTGAGCTCCACAGTCCACTGTAAAACCGTTCTCAGATCGTCGGCGCGAGAGAATCCCAAGTTTTCGGCTCTCTTCACGGCGTAGATGTAGAAAGTTATGCAGCCCTTTCTGAACTTGAACCGCGCCATTTCGCAGCCGCTCAGCCCTTTAATTAGCTTCTTGTGCACCTCCCCGAGCGGAATCTCCGGTGGCCACTGGCGGTCCATGGCGGCCTTCATGGATTCCATCCCTACACTATATATGATGGAAGGAGAAGCAGCAAAGGCATTGGCAAATGTGGGAGAAATGAATGAGTGTAAAGAGAAATAGTGCCAGATAATGATGAGTGTTGGGTTTGTAGGCCAAGCATTTGGAGAAGATGCAATCGACACAGCGCGAGCGTGGTTGCCGGAGTGTGGTTCCATGGAAGAGAAAGATGCCGAACTCAAAGTGTGGGTTAAGCAAGTAGGAAGTGAATAAACAAATGAATTGACAAAATTGACCCTGGTAAATCGGAGGTCTAACCGGAGTGTTGCCGGAAAACGGACAGAGGGACTAAAATGACTAAAAAGAATTATTTTCGGGGACTAAATCGATGATTAAGGAATTAAAGAACTACATTCACAATTTGACAATAATTGAGAGACCAAATCGTTGATTAACTCTACTAAAAAATATACACATGACTGCACTCATCAACCCTAAGGCTGTCCTTATCCCTGCAAACATCTCCCACTCTCAAAAATGGGTCCCACTTCCACATCATCTTATTTGCAAATCATCTCCTATTCACACTACATCCCTACAAATCTCTCTTACTCTAAAAAATGGGTCCCACCTTTATTTTATATTATATATATATAAATAAAAAAATAAAAAAGAATAAAAAAGTAAAGAAAAGTACATATTTACAGGCAGCATGGCTGCCTTGCAATACTAAAGTACAAAGAAGGCTGCCATTCGGCAGCCTTCTTTGTACTTTGCAAACTTGCAAAAGATGCAAGTTTGCATTACACATCATATAACAAAAAAAAATAAAAATAAAAAATAATTTCATGTGGCATGCCAAATAAGATTGCAAATGGGTACACTTGCAGGGGTAAGGTCAGCCTAAGTCTCATAGTGGTAGAGTCATAAGGTAACCAAATTTTGTATGCAAATAATAATAATAATAATATTATTATTATTATTATTATTATTATTATTATTATTATGGGTCCATTCCACATTCGTTGTTGGGCCATCATAAATATATAGTCCCATAGGTAATTGCTGCAATAGTTATTTCATGGAGTTCATATTACAAGTTGAACTTATGCTTAAAACGACGCTGTTTATGTGTGTGAAAATAACAATGTTATTAGTGGTACCGTTTCTGTAGCTAATAATTTTTGTAAAAAAAAAAATTAAAAATAAGTCAACGAGTGAATATTCAGTTATGTAATTGTAAATATAGAGTTATTTAATTGCGAATATAGAATTATGTAATTGTAAATATTGAGTTCTGCAATTTTGTATATTGAAATCTAAAATTGTGAATATTCAATTTTAAAATTGTGAATATAAAGTTTAAAAATTATGAATATAGAGTTCTGCAATTGTGAATATTGAGTTCTGTAATTTGGTATATTGAAATATAAAATTGTGAATATTCAGTTATAAAATTATAAATATTTTTTTGAATGCTACTGACTTTATTACAATATAGTATCTGTTCATAACTACTTTCTCAACCTACTGAATCACAAAGAGTCAATACTCTCGAACTCATAACCTTCTATATAAGAGTCCAACATTAAATCCATTAGACCACAAGATCTTGATAAAATTGTGAATATAGAGTTCAAAAGTTATGAATATAAAATTAAAAAATTGTAAATATAATCTGGTTCACCTTGTCAGGTGGACCCAAAATCATAACATAATTTGCCGTAATTGCTGACCAGTCTTCCCAGTTTGGCAGTTCCCACTTCCCACCCTGACAAAGTGGCCTTCAACTTCATAAATCATAACCGCCAAAAGTCAAAAACGAAAAGCTTCCGCCATTTTCCTCCTTTGTTAGCTTCAAAACCCTCGTCCCTGTAACAATGATCTCCGACAAAATCTACCCCGAATTGATGACTACCGGGAGTCTCTCCTCCAAACACGACAATTATTATTATCTCATATGGAAGTCTAAAATCCTGTTCGTTCTCGCCGGCTATGGACTCCACGACGTTCTCACTACCCCCGTCGACTCCACCGACCCGCAATGGCTCGAGCGAGACGAATCGGCGCGTTCTCACATCCTCCCGAGCCTCGACGAAGATTTATGCACCGCATACTCATATCTCCCCACCGCGAAGGAGATCATGGACGCCCTCGAGAACCGATTCAACTCTGCAACTGTGAACCGGAAAATGCATCTCTTCAGATGTTACCGCAACCACAAAATGGAGCCCCACATGCCGATCAATAAGCACATATTCCGTATGCGGGCCATGGCGACAGCGCTCGAGTGTGCCGGAATTAGCGTTCCCGACGAGATGCAGGCGGTGTTGCTGCTGAACAGCGTGCCGGAGGATTGGTGCGACGATGTCGAGAGGGCGCAGTTGGGGTTGGAGGAATTGAGTCTCCATAATACGACCTTGAGGTTGAGGATTGCGAGTGATGCTAGGAAGTTTAAGAACTATGTTAATAACTAGGGGGGATTCAAACTCGTTTGCAATATCTGTGGAAACAAAGGTCATCGGAAACGCGATTGCCCAGAAGGTAAACAATTATTGACTTATTCATTCTCTTTATCCATTTCTGTGTTTACATTTTTCAATCGCATAAATTACTACTCCACTAAATGATCGCATATGGTACT